CTGGAATTAAATTAAAAGTTGGGATTGCTCAGCCCGGAAAAGAGAAGAGTCTGGGGAGACCTCAAGCCCCTTCCAGGGCCTAAAGGTGCTCCAGGAGAGCTGGAGAGGGACGGGGGACAAGGGATGGAGGGACAGGACACAGGGAATGGCTCCCACTGCCAGAGGGCAGGGTTAGGTGAGATAGTGGGAATTAGGAATTCCTGGCTGGGATGGAATTCCCAGAGCAGCTGGGGCTGCCCCTGGATCCCTGGCAGCCTGGGACAGTGGAAGGTGTCCCTGCCCATGGGATGGTGGCACCGGATGGGATTTAAGGTCCCTCCCAACCCAAACCATTCTGGGATTCTCCAAAATCTCCTCTCCAAAACTCAATAACCCCACACACAACATCTGCCCTGGCAAAAGCCCACCCTGAGCCGAAATCCCCTGCGTTCCCCCCACTCCCCAGGGCCAGGCTGGTTCGGGAAGGAGGAACGCGGCCCCTCCAGGGGGGGACTGGGGCACGGGAGGGCTGCGAGGGGCACGGGAGCATCGGGAGGCGAGCACCAGCGGCTCGGCTTTAATTGCGGCGCGGCTGCCAAGCCCAACAAAGCCGCGCACGAAGAATAGAAGTCATTTATTCTGTCTGCAGGTCGGGATTGTTGCCGTGCCGAGGGAGGGGCGGGAGGTGAAATCCATCCCTTTCCAGGCAGTGACTCAGGTGCCGCGATCCACCCCGGGCGCGCATCTCGCACCGCGAGCGGCTCCAGCCGCGCTCGCCGCGGGCTCATAATGGGATTATTGTTCCTTTGCGTGCAAAGCCTCGCTGGGGTTGGTGTCCCCGCCCTGCCCTGCAAACCGCAGCCGCCTGCGCCTTCCCAGCCCCGGCACGGCACGGGCCGAGAGAGAGAGGGAGAGAGGGAGAGAGGGAGAGAGGGAGAGAGGGAGAGAGGGAGAGCCCGCTCGTTGCTGGCATCCCCAGAGCCGTTCCTGCGCCCTGAGTCACCGCCGGGCTGCCGGGGATCACCGGGAGCAGCTGGGAGGGACCCAGGGGTCATCCAGCCCCACAGGGACCGTCACAGGGGACGTCCAGCTTCACAGGGATCATCCAGCCCCACAGGGACCATCACAGGAACCATCCAATCCCACAGGGATCATCCAGTCCAACCCCTGCCCCGACACCCCAACAATCCCAGCTGGGAGTGCTGTCCAAACCCTCCTGGAGCCCTGGCAGCCTTGGCAATGTGCCCATCCCCTGGGTACCCTGGGCAGTGCCCAGCAGCCTCTGGGAGAAGAACCTTTTCCTAAAATCCATCCCAATGCCCTGCCACAGCTCCAGCATTGCCTGGGTCCTGTCCCTGTCCCAGTTCCTGCCCCTCAGGAGGAAATTCCCCTCCTCTGCCTGCACAGCCCTGGGCAGGGACAGCCCCCACTGCCCCAGGCTGGCCTTGGGCACTGCCAGGGATCCAGGGGCAGCCACAGCTCCTCTGGGAACCTCCCCACAGTCCCAGGCTGGAATTCCTTCAAAATCCCATCGAAACCTGCTCTCCCTCACGTCAGGGAGGGGAGGGGAGGGGAGGGGACTCCCCTGGTGCTCTGCTGGGAAGGGAAGGGAAGGGAAGGGAAGGGAAGGGAAAAGCTGGGCATTGCACACCCCGTGAATCCCTGGATGAACAGAGGCCAGTGCCTCCAGCTACCAGCAGCCTCCATCCTCCACTTGGGATTGGTTTCAGGCCAAGCCCAGCTCATCCCTCCTGCCTGGGGACGAGTTTCCCTGGGGATTCCTCCACCATATCCTCGGCAGCCACCGATGGTGCCAGTCCCAGGCAGCGCCTCCATGGTTTGGCCTCTGAAACACGTCAAAAAAAAACCCAGAATAAAAGCAGGAAAATCCACCCAGCCCTGCATTCCTGGGCTTTTCCACAGCCACGGTGCTTGGCCAAGCCCTGGGAGCAGCAGCTCGTGCACAGGCAGCAGCAGAACACCTCCAGTGCCAAGCACAGACACCCCCGGGGCTGGGAGGAATTGGGGGATTTCCCATTACTTTCCCATTATTTTCCCATTCTGGGGTCACCCCATTCATTAGCAGGGTTTGGAAAACCCCAAAACATCCACAGAAACAGCAACAAAGAGGCTACAGATTCAGGCTGGGGGATGGGTGGAAAAAGAGAAGAAAAAAGGAAAAAAGAAATAGAAAAAAGAAAGGAAAAGGAGGAGAAAAGAAAAAGAAAGGAAAGAAAGGAAGAAAGGAAGAAAGGAAGGAAGAAAGGAAGAAAGGAAGGAAGGAAGGAAGGAAGGAAGGAAGGAAGGAAGGAAGGAAGAAAGAAAGAAAGAAAGAAAGAAAGAAAGAAAGAAAGAAAGAAAGAAAGAAAGAGAAAGAAAGAAAGAAAGAAAGAAAGAAAGAAAGAAAGAAAGAAAGAAAGAAAGAAAGAAAGAAAGAAAGAAAGAAAGAAAGAAAGAAAGAAAGAAAAATTTATTTGGGGGGTTGAAACTGTAACTGGAGAGGGGTCACAGTTTAAGTTTCCCTCCAACCACTGCTAAAATTTATTATGATTTTAAGACCAAACTCAGGAATCTAAAGGTTTTACTGAAAAATTAGTGGGAGGTGGGGAGAAATCCCCAGCTAAAATTTGGTATTTTTCTTGCAATAAGCTCACAGAACATTTCAAACCCCTCCAATGGCTGAGTCTTCCCATGGAAAGGATGGAAAGAGAGGGATAAAGCTTCCCTGTGCTCAGCAGAGCTGTGCTCCAGGGCTGCTCCCCTCTTCCAGAGGCTGGGACACGGCTGGGGCTCCAGGGCCACTCCCTGGCAGGGGGAGGGAGCACAGAATCCCTTGGCTGCATCCTGACCCCCAGGATCCCAAACCCCATCTCCAGCCAGGGGACAATGTCACTGGGATATCCTCTGGCAAATCCCTTCAGCAGGATTTCTTCTCCTGGGAAGCTGGGAAGCTTCAGCTTCTCCCTGTTTTGCTGCTTTGGAATGTGATTTGGAGATTGTTTACCCAGCATGTGAAATTGTTTTAATTTAATGACCACTCATGGTCCAGCTGTGTCGAGGCTCTGAGTCAGTCACGAGTTTTTATTATTCATTCTTGTTAAACCTTCTGATGTATCCTTTCTCTGTAGTTTAGTATCGTTTTAATATAGCCTTCTTTAATAGAATATCATATCATAATATCAAATAATATCATATCATATAATAAGAAATCAGCCTTCTGAGAACATGGAGTCAGATTCATCTCTTCCCTTGTCCTGGAGTCCACAAAGACCACAGGACAACTTCCCCCTTTCCCTCCAGCCAAGGAGCAGAGCCCATCTCCGTGTCCCAGGTCTTGGCTGGCTGTTTCCATCCCCTCTGCTCCCAAATTCCAGTTTTCCATGGCCATTTCTTATCCACAGGGGGAATTTCTGGCCCTGTGGCAGCTTCCAAGGAATGGGGAGATCATTTCATTCCCCTCCAGGGGACAAACAGAAAATAAGGATTTTCCTCTGGGATTTCTGCCTCCCTCCCTCCCTGCTCCTTCCCTAGGCTCCATCCTCATCTGGCCTGGCTGCATCCAGGCAGGATTAAATGCTTTTGTGGCATTATCTCCCAGAAATCTGATTACAAGGCTGCCTCCAACTCTCTAATGTTTGGGGTTTTTTTTTGTACCAGCTGGCACTACACGCCAGGAATTAAACCAGGAAACATCCCTGGCAGGCTGGAGAACCCCAAGCTGTGGACATCCCAGAGCATTTGAAGGTTTTTAAGCTGGAAACAGAGGGCTCAGACTTTCCAGAGCCTCCGGTGTGGGTGGAATTAGGGAGGGCAGTGAGAGATGCTCCAGCCCTGGGAATGGGACACTGGAAGGGCTCTGATGCCCAGCTGTGGCAGATCCCTTCCCTCTCCTGCCCTGGGATGCAGGGACAGCTGTCACCTTTTCAAAAGCACCCCCTGCTTATCCTGCTAAAGGCTGAATTCCCAAATTTTCCAAATTTCCTTCGTGCCTGGAGGGACCCAGCTCAGCCCCAGGGTGCACGCCCAGGGTGAAACTGCCTCTCCTTGGCTTTTCCCCATCTTTTCCCATCTCCAAGGAAGCCTTCCCAGCCAAGAGGCAGGACCTTGGAAAGCCAGGAACAACGAGGCTGGAGGAAGGAAACCCAACAGCGTGGAGGGAGGAGGAGCAAATCCGGATTTATGGCACCAAAACAACTCCGTGCAAACTCCATTTCCCATTTATTGAAAGCAATCACAGTTAAAAGGTCAAACCCATCGGCAAACAGGAGCTTGGGATCATCCAGAGGGACACACAAAGGAAATCCATCCAAAAAACAAGGACCAAGCCAAATGGAGAGCTCAGTTTATTCCAACCTGTTCCCTTTGGCTCTGGCGGGACCGGAGGTGGGTCTGGGATATCCCAGCCCCACTTCCAGAGGGACAGAGCAGCAGGAGGCAGCCAGGTGACCCAGCTGTTCCCACAGGAGGGTTTAGGGAAGCCCTTTGTGCTGGAGGTCAGAGCGAGGGGGAGCTGGGATTTGCAGCATCCTCCCAAGCCTGGCAATTCCCTCCTCCCTGGGCACAGGGACGGATTCACTCCTCAGCCTGCCTCGATCCTCAGCGCTCAGGAAGAGCCATTCCACAAGAAACGCTTGGGAAGCATCAGGAGAAGAGGCAGAAATGTCCATGCATGGTTGTGGCTCTCCAGGTGGGATAATTGATTCATTCTGAGGGATTAATTAACTCATTCATTCATCCCGGATTGCTCTGCTGCTGGCTCAGCTCCTGCCCTTCCTGCAGGTGAAGGGTGAGCAGGATAACCCTGGCTTGGCCCTTCAGGGAGTTCTGACCACTGCCAGAAGCAGCTGAAATCCAGAATCCCTTGGGAAGGCCAGGCAGCTCCACATGGAATTGCATGGAAAACACTCAAATCCTCCTTTCCTGGTGTTTTTCCCATAGAAAACCCCGGAGCATTGGACATAGCACAATGGAGCAGTGCCCCTCTGAGACAAATTCAGGAAAAAAATGACATTTCCCTCTTGCAGAGATCCCAAAAAATTCATCTTTATTTGCCTGGTCTATCTCCATGCATCCAAAGCAATTCCCTGCAGCGTTCCCGAGGAGCAGCAGGATGTGGAAGACCTGTGATCCCATGGCTTATCACAGTCCTCATGCCTTCAACCTTCCCAAAAAAGGGTGCAATTCCACACTCCATAAGGAGCTGACTCCATTTCTAGACCTCAGACCAGCCTCCACATGGGACAGGGAATTCCCAACCTCTGACAGAGCAGAGAGGATCAAAATCCCAAATGCCTTTCCTTGGAGAAACCAGCCCAGCGTCATCCAATGCCCCTTCCAAGAGGAAAACCAAACCAGGATCTGGGAGGACCCACCCATATTTGTGCTTGGAAACCATCGCCAGGAACTCGGAGGGGAGGGGGAGATACAAAATCAGAGGAAATCAACACCAAACCAGATCCCAAAAATCTATGTACAGATCCAGTCCGGGGCCAAGGCGTGGCCGGCTCCCGATCCCGCGGCGCGGGGCTCTGCTGTCTCCTCCTGGGAACGCAGCTCTGCCCTACCCCAGCCCCACATCCAGGGACATCATCACCACAAACCCCAGGATGGAGGTCCAGGATGCCAACTTCCCGTTGCCACTGCAGGGAGAGGGGAATGTTGGAGGAGGGAATGCCGCTCGTGTCCCATCCCAGCCCCGATGCTCCCGAGCCCCCCCTGCCCACGGGGGTCATTCCCTGGCATGGGGAGGGAGCACAGCAATCCCTTGGCTGCATCCTGACCCCCCCAGGATCCCAAACTCCATCTCCAGCCATGGGATAACTTTCCCCTTTTCTCTCAGTTTGCTCCCGGAAGGATTCCCAGCCCCTCCATCCAGCCAAGGATCAGAGCCCTCTCCACTTCGCAGGCCTTGCCTGGGTGTTTATATCCCCTCTGCTCCCAAACTCCCCCTTCCCATGGACACTCCTTGTTCCCAGGGGTAACTGGGACCACCCCCACAGGTCAGGGGGGTCTCACCTGGTCTGTGCCTCGGGAATGATGTCGTCCATCACCACATAGACCATGGCTCCGGCAGCAAATCCCAGCGCGTAGGGCAGGAGCGGCTCTGCCAGCAGCACGGCAAAGGCGCCCAAAACCCCGGCCAGGGGCTCCACCATCCCACTCAGCTGCCCATACCTGCCAGAAAAACAGCCAAAACCTCCCTGCAGACCTGGAGCAGGGCTGGCACAGCCATCCCAAAGGGATCACGGGGCTCACAGCGCCCCATCCCCGCTGTGCCCCTGTTCCCAGTGCCTGGAGGAGTCGGACACCGGCCACGCCCAGCCACAGCACCTGGATTGTGGTAAAGGGGAAGGGTTTGACCTAACCCAGCTGAGTTTTCCAGGCAGGATCTAATTCCTGCCCCCAACAACTCTGTGGGATTTGGGGATCCTGCTCCCAGGCAGAGGGAACATTTCCAATCAGCACAACTCAGTCCCAAAGAAGACACCTGGCCCCAGCCTCAAGCAGGACAAAGCCACGTTCTTCCCACTCCTTTTCTTTCCCTCTAGGATTGTTCCCACCTCTCTGGACCATGGGAAATCCCTTCCCAGGAGCAACAATCCTGCTGCAAGTCCCAGCACTTAAGGAGGTGGGTGGGAGGAAAGGAAAACAAAACTCTGGAGAAGTTTGGGAGCCTCCCCTGCCCTCCATCCATCACCCAGAGCAGGGCAGGAACGCAGCTCCTGCTCCCAGGGTTTGTGCCCTTGGCTTTTGCACCTCAGGGAAAAGGGGCAAAAATAGAAGTGGGGTTGAAATCCAGCCTGAAGGGAAAGAAAAATGAAGTGACAGAAAAATTTAATAATAATAATAATAATAATAATAATAATAATAATAATAATAAAGGCAGTGCAGGATCTGGAGCTTAGCACAGGCACTGAAATGGGATGTGGTGATGTGTCAGGATCAGGGATTCCTCCCCTGGGATGTGGTGATTGCTGGGATCAGGGATGCATCCCCTGGGATGTGGTGATTGCTGGGATCAGGGATGCATCCCCTGGGATCCAGGGGCTGGGATTTGAGCTTGGAGGGTGTGGAAGGAGCAGGATAGAGCTGGAGAGCTGCAGCACTCCCAGCACCAGAGGGAACACAGCAGATCCAGAGCAATCCCATCCAAAGGGCATCTCCCTGATGGAGCTGCACATGGGTGTGGGGGGATCAGAGGCAGGAGGGGCTGGAGAAAGCTCCTGTCCCTGGAGCACAGGGAGAGCTCACCAGAAGGCTTTCCACGTGGAAAATCCAGCGCCGCGCAGGGGCAGGCTGACAGCCAGGCCCTCTGGGAAGTTCTGGATCCCAATCCCAATGGCTAAGTTCCTAAAAAAAGCACAAATATATAAATTTGGTTTTGTTAAGGGCAAAGTTCAGCCTGGGATAGGCTGCTGGGAGCAGGGAAAAAGGGACATGACTAAGGATTCAGGGGAAGTTCTCTCGACCCCGCTGCCCAAATTTAACAGGATCCCAGCAAATTCCATCCTCCAACAGCTCCAGAGCTTCCATCAGCTCCACCACCAGCCCATGGAGCAGCAGGGAGCAGATGGAGGAGAAGAGACTGGTCCTGGGAGGCCCCTGGAGGGATTCCAGCCCAAGGATGCCTGGGAGCTGCAGCATTCCCAGTCCTGGGCACCTGGAGCAGCCCAGGTTTGAGGGAGGGCTGAGGCTCCTCCTCCTGGGGGCTTTGCCAGAGGGGCCCCAACACCACAGGGCTTTGCTTTCTCTCTTTTCCCCCTCTTGCATCCCATGGAAAGGGAACACTTGGACTTCCAGGGTCAAACTCAGGGCAGGGGAGAGCAGGGCTGTCCATTGGTCATGGAATCCCAGAATCCTGGAATGGTTTGGGTGGGAAGGGATTTTAAAATTCATGCCATTCCACCTCCAGCTATCCCAGGTGGCTCCAAGCCCTGTCCAGCCTGGTCTTGGACACTTCCAGGGATCCAGGGGCAGCCCCAGCTGCTCTGGGAATTCTATTCCAGGGCCTCCCACCGTCTCAGGGAAGGATTTTGGCCTCACAGGGAAGAATTCCTTCCCTGAGCAGCTCCTGTTGGGTCCCTGCTGGAGCTGTGCATGGCTGGCACATCCACCTCCCACCCTTCCAGCTCTGCAGGGGTTTGGGATTTTGGGGAATGTTTCAGGCACCAAACAGGGCTCCTGTTTGTTTCAGGGCTCCCCACACATCCCGGTTCCACACTGGAGCCTTTTCCAGCTCTGCTGGGCTGTGTTGGTGGCACTGGGGGACACCAAGAGTGGGACCACCCTGGGGGGCTCCAGCAGTGGGGGTTGGGCTCTGAGGGATCTCCAGAGGGATCCCAGAGCCTCTCCCAAGCTCAGTTCCTGCTCTGCCACAGCTGCCAGCTCCCTTTTTTCACCCCCTCGTTTCCTATGAGTAAAATAAGCCCGGTGAGAAAAACCTCTCCGGGTTGTTTAAACTTCTCCCAGGGTTTACAGAAGAGGGGAGGGGAAGTGGGAGAGGCTCCGGGTTTCCCTGAGCAGGACAGGCCATTACAATCACAAACATTATTCCAGGCAAAGAGAGGGAGGACGGAGGGGGAAAACCATCCCTGCTGGAAAACACTGGAGCCGCTGTCTGGGCTCGGGGTTTTTTTTCCTCCTTCCCTCGCTCAGCACAAAGCAGCTATTGCTGCTCCTGGCCACAACAAATTAACAGGGAGGGAGCTGTGAATGGAGGGGTCTGTGTGGGAAGGGTGGGGAGCTCCCCCCCATCCCGATCCCACCGGGAATAGGGACCCCCACACTGACCCCCGAGGGGCAGGAGGAAGGGATGGAACTGGGGGGAGATCCAGGAGAAACCCAACAGGGCTGTGTCCCTGCTCTCCTCCTGCCCTCCTTCCCACACACCCCCAGGACAATCCATGTGGGCTCCCCAAAACCAGGAATAACCCCAAAACTAGGAACAGCCCCGGGACAATCCATGTGGGCTCCCCAAAACCCAGAACTCCCCATAATTCCCCCATCCCGATCCCACCGGGAATAGGGACCCCCACACTGACCCCCGAGGGGCAGGAGGAAGGGATGGAACTGGGGGGAGATCCAGGAGAAACCCAACAGGGCTGTGTCCCTGCTCTCCTCCTGCCCTCCTTCCCACACACCCCCAGGACAATCCATGTGGGCTCCCCAAAACCAGGAATAACCCCAGGACAATCCATGTGGGCTCCCCAAAACCAGGAATAACCCCAGGACAATCCATGTGGGCTCCCCAAAACCAGGAATAACCCCAGGACAATCCATGTGGGCTCCCCAAAACCAGGAATAACCCCAAAACTAGGAACAGCCCCGGGACAATCCATGTGGGCTCCCCAAAACCCAGAACTCCCCATAATTAGGCTCCCCAAAACCAGGAATAACCCCAGGACAACCTATCTGGGCTTCCCGAAACCAAGAGCTCTGTGCCAGCCTGGGAACACCAGGAGAGCTCCATGCCAGTGTGGGAACACCTAAACCTTCCTGTCTGCCTTGCTCTGGTCACCATCCCAGGGGCCACCCCTGTTCTGGCCAGGAGAATAAAAGGGGATTCACCTCCAGTGCTCCAAATAAACCCATCCTAAGGGATATTCCATCCCAAGGGATACTCCATGCCAAGGGATACTCCAGTCCCAAGGGATACTCCATCCCAAGGGATATTCCCATTCCAGGGATATTCCATCCCCAGGGATACTCCATCCCAAGGGATACTCCCCACCCAAGGGATATCCCATCCCAGGGATACTCCATCCCCAGGGATACTCCACCCCAAGGGATATCCCATCCCAAGGGATACTCCATCCCAGGGGATACTCCATCCCAGGGGATACTCCCTCCCAAAGGATATTCCCATCCCAGGGATACTCCATCCCAAGGGATACTCTATCCCAAGGGATATCCCATCCCACGGATACTCCTGTCCCAAGGGATACTCCATCCTGAGGGATACTGCTGTCCCAAGGGACACTCCATCCCCGGGCCATCCCTGCACAGCTCACACCTTCCCGCAGCCCCGGGGCGAGCAGGAGCAATCAAAGCCGCATTGTGTCCAGGGGAACAAAGGCGCCTTTTGACAGAAATAGGTGGGGATTCTTGGAAGGCTTCCCCCGGCTGCAAGGGAATACACTGTAAAACAGGCACAGAGACATGGCCTGGCCCGGGGAGCCTCGGGTGGCACAGGGACACGGGGCAGAGGGACACGGGTGTCACCGTCATATTGTCAGGAAAAATCCCTTTGCCAGGATTTCCCTCCTGGGAAGCTGAGAAGCCTCGGAGAAAAAGGAAAACAAGAATTATCTGATTTGCTTCTCCTGTGTTTTGCTCCTTTGGAATGTGTTTGGAGACTGTTTACCCACAGGCGATTGTTCCATTGGTTTCATGTGAATTGTTTTTGACTTAATGACCAACCACAGCCAAGCTGTGTTGGACTCTGGAGAGAGACACGAGTTTTTCATTATTATCTTTTTAGCCTTCGGTCTGTATCCTTTCTGTATTCTTTAATATAGTTTAGTATAGTATTCTTTAATATAATATAGATCATAAAATAATAAACCAGCCTTCTGAGATCATGGAGTCAGATTCATCATTCCTTCCTTCGTCTGGGAACCCCCAAATACAAGACACAAGCATGAGCCAACAAGAAAATCCATGGGGTGAGGGGTTTGGGGTCTCCAAAGAGAGGAGAAGAAAGGCGGGGTAAGGAGTAGAGAGATGATGGAGCCAGATCCCATCTGGTCCGATTTTTGCCACCCCTGGAGGTGCCCAAGGGTGTGGCACCCAGTGCTCTGGGCTGGTGACAAGGTGGGGGTCAGGCACAGGTTGGATTTGGTGATCCTCGAGATCTTTTCCAACCTCGGTGATCCTGGGATTCTGGAGATGGGGCAGCTGTGTCCAGCTGGACAACCTGCGGCTCATCCCCAACCTACAAACCTCAGCTGGTCTCACAGAGGCACATCCAGGGAAAATCACACCAGGCTCTGCCTGGGGATGCGCCAGTGTCCCACTGGTGGCTCTGTCACCAGCACAAAAATGTCACTTGGGTGGCTCCTCCAAGCCTCAGTGTCCTTGGAAGCATCAAGCACGCAACACACACGGGATGTGCTGCCTTTCCCAGCTCTGCTTCAACTTCCCCATCTGTAAAATCAGGCTGGGGACAGCCATGGGACAGCCACGTCCCCCAGCAGTGCCCCAGTACCTGTGTCACCCACAGGTGAGCTCTGCCCTGGCCCTGGCTCATCCTGCCATGCAGCAGAGCCCAGTTTTTGGGAAGAAAAGATAAATCCATAAAGCCCTCCTGTGGGGCTCCCCCACGGAACAGCTCCGTGTCCCCCGGGAACATCCCGGGCTGGACCTCCTACCCCCTCTCCTGCCAACTGCTCCGGCACCACGCTGCGACACTCCAAGTTCACTTGCAAAAAAAAGAGTTGGCATCTCTGCATATTTGCAAGGTCAAGGCACAGAAAGCCTTCTATAAGCCTAAAGCCTTGTTTTCAAGGGCCTATTCTTTGACGGAGTGATTATGAAAGCAGGCTACATATTCTTAACAAGCCCCTTTTCACTCGGGCTTTCAGTTCCCCGCAGTGGAGAATGTGCATGTGTATTCTTGCATGGCAGCCCTTCCATACTGTTGGGATTGTTATCGGGCCGTGAAAGGCCCGATTGTTTGGGGTTGCCGCGATTACATCACGGCTGCCCCCGGGCCGCCCGCCGAGGTGTTTGATCAGGGCTGCAGGTGGGAAGGAGCTCACGGGGCCCTTTCCCCAGACCTGCCCTACCTGTTCAACCCTGTTCCACGCAGCTGCTCCTTCCCCCTGTTCAACCCCGCTCCTTCCCTCTGCTCCTCAGCCTCCTGCTCCAGCAGCGCAGGAAGAACCAGCCCCAGTGTCACCCAGATGTCCCCGATGCCTTAAATTTTAGCTGTTCTATTTCCCAGACTCTGCACTGCATTGGTGTATAACTCTGAACTCCATATAAAGTGTCAGCAGCTCTCCTCACAGCTCAGGCACACAGAACAATCCTTTTCCAGCCCCAGAACCAAGGACACCGCTGCAGCTTCAGCCCAAAAAGTGCAAACAACAAAAAGGCCCAAAAGGCCCAAAAAGTGCAAACAGCAGGGAATTGAGGAGAGCAAACTGGGAGGATGGGACTGCAGAACCTGGAGCTGGAAGTGGACAATGAACCCCAGTGTGGAAATGGACCAAAAATCAAAGTGTGAAAACTCGTGACCCATCATCCATCTTGGGTGTAGCCCCGGCTGGGCTCTTGTACTGCCCAGGTGAATCCAGGGGCAGCCACAGCTGCTCTGGGAATTCCATCCCAGAGCATCCCCAACCTCCCAG